ATGGACTCCAGTTAGAAGCCGAGCAGCGTTCTGGACCAACTGGAGACGTCTGAGGGAGGACTGGCTGACTCCAAGGTAAAGAGCGTTGCAGTAATCCAGCTGAGAGGTGACGAAGGCATGGATTACTGTTTCCAGCTGTTGTTTTATCAGAGTCAGAGAGTCAGAGTTTCTTTATTGTCATTCGCACCTCATGTGGTACATGTGGTGGAGCGAAATTATGTACACAGGGTCCCAGTTACATCCAACAATAAAATGTATAAGAAAAACAGTAATAACATCTAAGATATGAACTAAGAAAAACATCAACTAAATATACACTAAGCACTCATAACATAAAACATTGAACATCACCACAAACATGAACATGAGTCTGTGAGCAGATGTGCACGCATGAACACATCAACATTGAAACAGATCAGCAGCAACATGAAACAGATCAGCAGCAACATGATATGGTTTTTCACAGTGATTATTCTGGTTAGAGATTCATGAGTCTAACAGCCTCAGGGTAGAAGCTGTTCCTCAGTCTAGTGGTTCTACACTTAATGCTCCTTAACCTCCTTCCTGAGGGGAGTGGGGCAAAAAGTGTGTGTGCTGGGTGGGTGGGGTCCTTCATGATGCAGGTGGCCCTCTTCCTGCATCTGGAGGTGTAGATGTCTGTGATGGTGGGGAGACTGATTCCAACAGATTTCTGTGCAGCCTTCACCACTCTCTGCAAAGCTTTTCTTTCTGCAGCTGTGCAGCCTCCATGCCACACATTGATGCTCGAGCACAGGATGCTCTCCACTGCACACCTGTAGAAGGAGGTGAGGACTGAGCTTCCCAGACCAGCTCGCCTCAGCCGTCTGAGGAAGTAGAGTCTCTGATGAGCTTTCTTGATCAGGCTGGTGGTGTTGTTGCTCCAGCTGAGGTTGTCATTCATGTGTACACCCAAGTACTTGTAGCTGGAGACCACTTCCACCGCAGATCCTCTTATGTTCAGGGGGGGTGTAGGTGTTTTTGTTCCTTCTGAAGTCCACAATCATCTCCTTTGTCTTCTTCACATTGATGTGAAGGTTATTCTCTCTGCACCAGCTCTCCAGGTGTTCCACCTCTTGCCTGTAGCTGGACTCATCATTGTTTGTGATGCATCCCACCACCGCTGTATCATCTGCAAACTTTACAATGTGACAGCCTGGATGGGTAGCTGCACAATCATATGTGAGCAGAGTAAACAGGAGGGGGCTCAACACACATCCCTGAGGAGAGCCAGTGCTGAGGGTTATGGTGGAGGAGGAGAGGTTGTGGATCCTCACTAACTGTGGTCTGTTTGTTAAAAAGTCTAGTACCCAGTTGCAGATGGAGGGGCTTAGTCCTAGTGTGGATAGTTTGTCCATCAGGGTTTGGGGGATCATGGTGTTGAAGGCGGATGTGAAGTCCACAAAGAGCATACGGACGTAAGAGTTTTTCTGCTCCAGGTGGTTGAGTGCAGTGTGGACCACAGAGGAGATTGCATCCTCTGTTGATCGGTTCTCACGGTATGCGTACTGATGAGGGTCCTCGTTGATGTTGATGGTTGTTTTGATGTGAGTCATGACCAGTTTTTCGAAGCATTTAGCGACTATCGGGGTGAGGGCCACTGGCCGATAGTCATTCAGACCAGTCACTGTAGAGCTTTTTGGGACTGGGATGATGGTGGCAGTCTTCAGGCAGGTGGGAACTGTCTCCAGGGTAAGTGAGGTGTTAAAGATGTCTGCCAGCACCTCACAGAGCTGATCAGCACATTCCTTCAACACTTTTCCGGGGATGTTGTCTGGGCCAGTTGCTTTGTGCGGATTAATCCTCCTGAAGGTACTCCTTACTTCTGCTGAGGTCACGCTGAGATGCTCTTCATCCGGTGGTGAGGTGAGTCTGGTGCTGGGTGGTCTGTTCGGGTCTTCAAAGCGTGCATAGAACTTGTTGAGGGCATCAGGCAGAGATGGGTCTTTGGGACATTGTTCACTCCTTCCTTTATAATCTGTTATGCACTTAATGCCCCTCCACATGCTCCGAGGGTCTTGTGAGATGAATTGACCCTCGATCCTCTTTGCATATGTGCCCTTGGCCCTCTTAATACCAGCAACCAGCTCTTTTCTTGTCCTACTCAGCTCCTCTGAGTTTCCAGACCTGAATGCAGTGTTCCTGGCTTCCAGCAGGGTACGCACCTCTGCATTCAGCCAAGGTTTTCTGTTTGGGTAGCTTTTAACATTTCTGATAGTGGAGACTGTGTCAGTACATGTACTAATGTAACCCAGTACTGAGGATGTGTATTGGTCAAGATCAAGCGAACCTCCATTTTCAGCAGCTTCTCTGAAAACCTGCCAGTCTGTTCGATCAAAACAATCTCTCAGTATGGGGCTACTGTCCTGGATCCAACATTTAACTTTCTTTTGAACCGGTCTGGAGCGTCTCAGCGGGGGCATGTAAGCAGGAGCCAGGAAGATTGAGATGTGGTCTGACAGTCCTAGGTGGGGGCGGGGTTCGGCTTTGTATGCATCTTTTACGTTCGTGTAAACACGGTCCAGCGTGCGGTCTCCACGTGTCGGAATCGTCACATGCTGATTAAAGCTTGGGAGACAGTCCTTTAGATTCACGTGGTTAAAGTCTCCGGCTACCACGTAAAGAGCCTCGGGGTGTTTGTTCTGCAGCGAGCTGATGATATCATGTAGCTCCTGTAGTGATTCATTAGCATTAGCGTCGGGAGGAATGTAAACAACTGTGATAAAAGTCACTGTGAACTCTCGGGGTAGATAATGTGGCCGACATTTCACTATTATGAGGATGGGCTTTACCTTAGCCAGATGTCTGAGGTGATAAAAACTGGTCTTGACCACCGCTCCAATCTGGGAATCCAATTTAAAATCACTTCATTTTAAAACCCAAGTTAGAAACTGTTTCTTTACATGTGGTGCCAGAGGATCCAGATCAACAGGGCAAGGTTCACAAGAGCCACTAGGACCAAACACCATCACCATCAAAGGCAGCAGTCAGGTCGAGCAGGACCAGAACCACATGTTCAATCATTGGCCATAAGAATATCGTTAAAAACTCGGACTAGAGCTGACTCTGTGCTGAGTTTTGAAGCCAGACTGAAAAACCTCCAGGATATTGTGCTCATCCCCAAAAAAAAACATTGACCTGGGATTATAAATTATTTTTCTAAAATTTTTAAAATAAAAGGCAGCTTGGAGATGGGCCTAAAATTAGCCAAGACAGTTTGGTCTAGGCTTTTTAAGCAGGAGCTGCACCACCGCATGTGTAAAACTTATTGGGACAACACCTGAGGACAGACTGCTATTGATAACAGCAAGAATCACCTGCCTCACGCTGGAAAACACCTCTTTTAAAAGACGAGGGGGGACAAGGTCACGAGGAGAACCTGATGGTTTAATATGGTCGACCACATCCTCTAAAAGGGTCAGAGTCACTGGTTTGAATCTATCGAACACAGCCAGGAGGGGTCAAAAGCAGGGGATGAAATAAGGGCCCTTGTGGTAACAACCTTATTTTTTTTTAAACTGCAGGAAGTCATTACAGAGTTCTGTAGAGGCTTCCAGGCAGACAGGTTGTGGGGCCTTCAGGACAGAGTCACCAGTTTTAAAAAGGACACGTGTGTTGTTGTGATTGGACACAATAATGTCTGACAGGTGTATTTTAGCCTCTTTGACAGTGTTCTGGTACTGACGTTGACAGTCCTTTAAAATGTGAAATGAAACCTCCAGTTTATTCTTTTTCCATCTCCGTTCAGCTCTGCGGCACTCCTGTCTGGCTGCACAAGTTCTTTCATTAAACCAGGGTTCAGATCTGGCTTTAGGCTGCACCAGTTTAGATGGAGCCACAGAGTCCAGAATGGCTTGACAGGAGGAGTCAAACCAGGAGCTCAGCTGTTCGGTGTCATCAGCAGAGAACTGACCAGCAGTGGAAGGGTTAAAAACTCTACGGCACTGGGCAGGAGCGCAGGACTTAACTGGAGCACAGGACAAACCAACATCAAATAAAAACAGGCCTATGGTCAGAAATCACATTGTCCGAGAGAACCAGGTTCATGTGTGGGAAATAGACAAAAACATATTTAAAAACAATTTAAAACAAATGTACTCACTGTACTTATGTACTGCTAACCCTGTTGGATGGTAAATCAGGAAATAGTCCATTCATCCATTCATCCATTCATCTATCCATCCATCCATCCATCCATCCATCCATCCATCCATCCATCCATCCATCCATCCATCCATCCATCCATCCATCCATCCATCCATCATCTTTACCCGCTTCTTCCTTTTTAGGTCGCGGGGGTCACTGGGGCCAATGTCACCAATATCACTGTGTGAGGGGCGGGGGACACCCTGGACAGGTCTCCAGTCCATCACAGGGACACATGGAGACAAATGAGACAAACAACCATTCACTCTCTCACTCATGCCTAGAGACAATTCAGAGTTACCAATCAGTCTAACATGCATGTTTTGGGTCTGTGGGAGGAAACTGGAGTACCTGGAGGAAACCCACGTGTGCACGGAGAGAACATGCAAACTCCACCCAGAAAGTACCCTGGACTGGGAATTGAACTGGGGTAACCTGCTCGCTGAGAGGCAGCAGCTCTACCAACTGAGCCACCGTGCTGCCCAGGAAATAGTCAGAAAGTCTAATCTAATCTGTTTCTCTAGTTGTCCCTGGTCAGAATCACCATTCAGATATTTTTCTTTCTACAAGTGTTGAATTCAGACGTTGGCTTCAGACATATTGCCACTTTTGTCTCTTCCACTTGGACTCCCACCATGGGTGTCTATTAATAGACTATGATGGAAATGAAAACACTCCACTTTCAAATATCTTCCATTTTATTTTTAGATATTCAAAATTAAAAGATCTGCAGCGTGAATTTGAATATGCTAAATATAGCATGATCACTAAACATACGGTTGGTGACACAAATAACAAGTTCTCTAACAGCGTTATGAGACATGGAGGAGGCGTACCTGTACAGATGTCGGCTCTGTCTCGATTCCTCTGTGCTCAGAAAGTATCTGATGAGGAGACACAGACACACCATGTTACTCAGTCCTGTCAAACATCAGAGTGTCCTAACGTCATCTTTTATTCTAAGCATCTATTTCTCATCAGGCTTGTTTACAGCCTTTAGCCTTTATGGGCTCAGTTTTGCAGCAGCGCGTCAGATTGTGGAGCCGCTTGTTTTCAGTGTGCCTCACTGCATCAGTCATGTTGAGTTTTCTCTTCTGTACGAATGTGAGGGCGATACAGAAGAGGAATCACTTGTCTGGAGGCAAAAAGCAGTGTCAGCCTGAGGGCTGTGGTGCTGAAAAAGAACTGTCTATAGATTTACAGCGGGGTTTTCTTTGCCCAGTCCACGTGGGATATATGCCCTCTGCAGAATAAAACAGCTTTAGGTAATAATCTGATCTTCCTAACTAATCCTTGGGTAATCCTTGGTCTTCTTTTTTAGTCATAGCTTCAGACTGAGCGTCTTCCTCTGACCTGTTACCCACAATCAGATCTGCGCTGCTAAAAATGTTTTATTTTCATTTACAATCACAGAGACTGAAACAGTCTGCAGCAGGTGAGGCACCAAATTACAGCGAGTCACAGAGATTTTAATGATAAAACCATGACTCTACCCTCACCGCCTCCAGCTATGAAATCATACAGGGTGATTGGATGAGGCTTCGCCACACTCTGTGGCTCTCACGTACATTTTGCCAGCCTGCTCGTCTAAGGCGCACAGCGAGGCGACATCCCAGCTCCCAGATGTCAAGAAGCGAGGAGGGACAGAAGGGATGGCAGGCTGCGTTACACAGAGAGAGACGAAGAGCGTGAAACTTTCACAGACACAGAATAAAAATAGGAACAGCAACACAGCAAGTTTCTGTCAGAGGGCAACCAGAACGAAACGTTGAGAGATTTACTCAAGATTCTGGAGGTTCGGGTGATTATTGTTTTAAATGAGGTATTTGGTTTATTTTTATACAGCAAATACAGACTGCAAATAAATAAATCTGTATGTGTGCTGATCTCTAAAATGCATCATTATTCCTCATGTTTCCTAAGAAAGCATCACATTTTTAAATAGATCATCCTGCGTGATCCCCAGAACATCTGAAGGTTTGAGTGAAAAACGACATACGCCACGTTTTATTCACCCTTTGTACATGAGGCCCCTGGCTTGAGGAGAAAATCTTAAATTTTTCCTCAGAAATGAGTTTTAAACTGCACAGTAAAGTTGGACTGTTATGAAGCAACATGCAGACCCAGAGAAAAATAAAGCTCACCGACTCCAATCAGTCATCCATAAAACTTTTACATAACTTCAAGAAACACTGGGGCCTCGTGTACAAAGGGTGCGTATGCACAAAAACATGGCGTACGCCCTTTTTCACGCTAAACTTCAATCAAGCTGCATCAAGAATGAAATGACCGTGAAAATGTGCACAGTCCCACACCAACTTCATGGCTGGTGTATGGTTACTGGTCCATTGACAACACTTACAGGTAATACTGGGAAACTGTCAATGAAGTGAAAACTATTATTGTACACTGATTGTATTGAACAATTGATACATGCGCTTGAATGCAATTAAGATGAGTGGATATAAAAACATGCACATAGTAGTGCAGAAAATACCTTTAACAACAACATATTTAGTCTTATTAGAGGATATAACAAAAGGTGCAATACGCAGAGCATGTATTTAGAGATGGAGATGATTTTCTGGCCCACGATGACTGGCTCATCAACCGTTTTAGGCCTGCAAGGGCAATCGTTTTGGAACCGTGCTTGGAGCGTGACACAGCGAGGAGTTGTGTGCTGCTTGTACACATACAGCTGATGACCACACTGGGGTTCCTGGTAAAAGGGGCATTCCAGAGGGAGCTGGCAGCCCGATCTGGACTGTGCCAGTTGAGTCCAAGCCGAGCCATGCCAGCTGTGTGGGATGGAGTTATCCATATGTCAGCCAGGTATATTAAATTCCCTACAATGCAGTTGAACAGGCAAACATTAAAGCACAATTTGCAGCAAGAGACAGTTTTCCTAACGTAATCGAATATTGACTGCACACACATTGATATACAGTAAAAGCACCATCACAGGATTAATATGTTTATGTTAACAGGAAGCAATTTAATTCAGTCAATGTGCAAAATATGTGATGTGCAAAAGCAACAATACTGACGACTCTGCTCAAATGGGGTGAGTTCGTCCTCTCCGGTACCCCCACCTGTTTTGGCCGCACTTTGGCGATGAACAGTCGTCTTCCGCCTCACATCCACCTTGATGTCTGACCATTTTGTCTTAATTTCTGCAGGTGTGCTGCTCTGGCCCCACAACATTTACACACATGGTCCCACTCACTCCTCTTGCACTTGGCGTTAATGCCAGAGGACAGCGTACCAAACAGGATGTTTTTATGAGCCTCTCATTTAGAAGCGTCTCCAACTCATATTCCATTAAGTTTCTCTTTCCCGTGTGTAAACATGCTTTCAGATAGTGCACAGAGGAAATTCCTCAGGTGCAGGGCATATTTAAATCGATTTGCATAATAAAATGGAGGTGTCTCGATTAAAAAAAGTTGGATATTTCTTCATGTGCACTCAATTCCAAGTTGATTGGGATTATCATTCTTTGTTAAAAACAGGTCTCTCTTGTAAATGAGTCCCAGAGGCTCAGTGAGACACACCTGTATAAATAAAGGTTGAATAAATGAATGTACTGTACAAAGGAAGTGAGCTTGGATTCATGCGTGCACATGGTTTCATACATCTGGATTGATTTGTGCGTACGCTGTTTTCTCAATTTAAGCGTACGCCATGTTTCAGCAGGAAAGCCACACAAGTTTTTGTACATGAGACCTCAGGTCAGGTTTAAAATGATTCAAATCTGACCTTGAAGAGAATAAAAAAACACAACAGATTGCACCGTGTCATTATTGTTAGACAAAATGAAAAGTTGTGTGTGAAAAACTGAGTCCACCACCTGATTCAGGAGAACGACTTTTAGCAGCAAGAACCTGAAGTAGTAGCCTGCAGTATACAACAGAGCCACTAAACTGCTCAGGGGCCACAGTTACTGAACGTTAGCAGCTCAGGGGCCCGACATCCAGCAGTTAAAGCCATTATGTAAATAAACTAATAATCTGTTACCTTTTAAATTATCGTAGTTTATTTTTGTTGCATTGAATCATAAATTAAATAAACAGAACACCAAAGTGTAATTCAAAGAAACTATATTTCAAGATTTATTTCCTTGCAATAAAAGTTGTGATAGTCTAATGAGAAACAATCCTAAAAACAAAAATTACACACTATGCCTCCTGTTTAACACAAATATTATTCTGCCATCTCTGACTTGACGAATCTTTACATTTTTCAAAATAAAAAATGTTCCTGAATGACCGACATGTTGCTGTTCCAGGTGGGTCCATTAAGAACCAGTTCTCATTCACAATGAAATGGCTGCACAGACCAGTTCTTCCTCGAACGGTTCATAAATCACAGGTGAAGCGTCTGCTCAGGTGTGAGTTTTGAACAGAACCAAAAGAGGCAGAGCAGAAATCAGCTGGACTGAAAGAGAGCGTGATGGGTCGAACATCTCCTTTTTGTCTTTTACTACAATGAATTAACTTAATCGATCCTATTTGTTGTTAACTATTTTAAAACTAACTACAAAGCTGCTGTGCACCATCATCAATATTCCACCAGTAATAAATCTGTGTGTTGTTGTGTAATCCAGTTTGCAGATGATCACACACTGATATGATCAGTTTATTTGAACTCCCCGCACAGTGAGAGAGAGAAAAAGTGCGCTGCCTTTCAGTCGTGTTTCTGATCATTTATTCTTCTTCCAGTTGTTCCCTCTTCAGGGTCTCCACAACGAGTCATCCTCCTCCATCTCTGTCCTCACTCCAACTACCTCCATGTCCTCTCTAACTGCATCCATATATCTCCTCTTTGTCTTTTTCCTGGCAGCTGCATTTCTAACATCCTTCTACCAATATACCCACTGTCCCTCCTCTGGACATGTCCAAACCACTGTCACTCCTCTGGACATGTCCAAACCACTGTCCCTCCTCTGAACATGTCCAAACCATCTCAGTCTGGTCTCTTTAACTTTATCTCCCAGTTGTTCAACCTGTGCTGTACCTCTGATGATCTCATTCCTAATCTTATCCATCCTTGTCCTTGAGAACCTCAACATCTTCATTTCTGCCACTTCCAGTTCTGTCTCCTGTCTTCTTGTCCATGTCTCTGTCTCCAGACTATACAACATAGCTGGTCTCACAACTGTCTTGTAAACTTTTCCTTTGACCTTTGCTGACACCTTTTTGTCACAAATCACTCCTGAAACTTTTCTCCATCCTGCCTGGACTCTCTTCTTCACCTCTTTACCACACTCCCCATTTTCCTGGACAGTGGACTCCAAGTACTTGAAGTCCTGCACCTTTGTGACCTCTGCTCCTTGTAGCCTCACTGTTCCACCTCCTCCCTCTCATTCACACATGCACTCTGTCTTACTACGTCTGACTTTCATTCCTCTTCTTTCAAGTGCATATCCACACTTCTCCAAGTTCTCTTCCACCTGTTCCCTGTTCTCACCACAGATCACAATGTCATCTGCAAACATTGTAGTCCATGTTGATTCCTGCCTGATCTCATCTGTTAGTCGGTCCATCACCAGAGCAAACAAGAAGGAGCTCAGAGTCGATCCGTGATGCACTCCCACATCCACCTTGAAGCTTTCTGTCACTCCTACAGCACATCTCACCACTGTCCAGCTGTCCTCATACATGTCCTGCTGTCCTCATACATGTCCTGCTGTCCTCATGCATGTCCTGCTGTCCTCATGCATGTCCTGCTGTCCTCATGCATGTCCTGTTGTCCTCATGCATGTCCTGCTGTCCTCATGCATGTCCTGTTGTCCTCATACATGTCCTGTACCAGTCTAACATACTTACCTGCCACTCCAGATTTCCTCATGCAATAATTAACACCAAAACACAGCTATTTGTAGGCCCCAGATTAAAGCAAGCAAGTGTCTCTATTTTAATTTATTTTATCATCCCCCAAACTCACAAATGCCCCATTTCCACCAATATTACTCAGCCCCAACTCTGCTCAGCCTGCCACGGAAAGATCTCTATTCCACAGTACTTTTTAGATGATTTGAGGCTGATTCAGGACCTTTTTGTGTCCCTGCTTCTCTGGTGGGATTCTAGTCCCCGCCTACAGAGCCGGTCCAGAAGTGTAAATGGAAACACAACGAGACATGAGCCGATCTGGACTGACCCGAACTGACCTGATCCGCACTGTGACAGTGGAAAAGGGGCATTAGTCAATGGTTTTTGTGGGGAGGGGGCTCTTCATAAAGAATATTGCACATAAAAAGTCAAAAAAGTTGAACATTGCGATGGGAACATAAAAGGATTGGCTCTTTGACTGAAATAGTTCCCATTTTAATTTTTAAAACTCTCTCTCACAGATTGTTTTTCATATTTTTATTTATTTTTTATTAATGAACTCATCAGCGGGCTGAACTTAAGTCACCTGCGGGCTGTCAGTTGAATAGCCCTGGTATACGACTTTAAAAGTGTCTCACGTGGTTGGGGACCAGTTCTGATTCACTCTTGTGTCCACCTTTGCTTCAGTTCAAAGGTTTGCAGACATTAGTTTCAGCTCCGTCCTCTTCAGGTCCCACCGCGCTACGCTGAGGTCTGGATTTTGACCGAACCGTTACAGCACCTTGATTATTTTCTTTTTCAGTCATTCTGTTGTAGATCAGCTGCTGTGTTTGAGAACTTTGTCCTGTCCTGACATGACCCAGTCTGGTCCAAGCTTCAGCTGTTGGACAGACGTCCTCACGTTAGACTCTACAATCCTTTGGTCTACAGCTGAAATGCTACGTCTGGTTTTTGCACATGGTGCTGTGCAGTATGGGTAAACATCTCTTCTTTTGTCTCATGTGTCTAGAGGACATTGTCCCAGATATCTGATGGTTCATTTACATGAGGTTGTGTGTTGCATGGTCTGACCTTGGGGTGAATCTACTGATTTGTGCCATTCTGGGACGACTGGCAGCTGTCCTAAATGTTTTCCACATGATTGAAAATTAAATTTAACCTTTCCCAGACTGATGACAACATCAGCTTCTTTAAGGTCATTGCTGATGTCTTTCCTCTTTGGCATTGCCTTAATGCACACCTGTATACTTCAGAGCAGCAAACTGACAAACCCCTGCCTCTAGGTGCACACACTGAAGATGTTCAGTTAATTTAGTGCATCTGTTCTGCAGCACCTGGCTGAAAGTGAACCTCTTAAATCCTGAAAAAGTCGATGTTTTAAGAGTAAATTTTGTTTTTCATGCACAGATTGTATTATTTTATTCAGTTTCTAAGATGATGGGCTCTGTATTTACACAGTTTAAAGAGTTTAAAGAGACACCCAGTGGTGGCTAGATTATCACTTTTTAAAACATTTTTTTTAAAAGATCAGAAAAAGTAAAAAAATATAAAAAATCCTGCCACTGAACTGACCTGTGCTGAAAGACCAGCAACGTGGTGAAACTCTCCACGAGCGCCTTGCTTTGCAGGCAGGATGGTGTAAAAGACGGCGCCGTTCGATGTGAACAACGGCACATCCTGTCGACACAAAGCGTCCAGTTCAGAAGAAGAGGGTGATGAAGATGACAGGCGTTATAAAACATAAGCAGTGCCCACCTGTCGCTGGTTCTGCATGATGTCCATGGTCATTTTGTGTTTCTATGGGTTCCACATGACACACACACACACACACACAAAATTGATATATATATGATTTTTATCAACAAAGTGACTTAGAATAATAAGTCTTAATAAAGTTTATTATTTTTAATTATTTAAATTAGTACCAAGACAAAGCTAAAAACTGCAGTTTACCCTAAATAATAAGAAGTGAGGCAGATGACTAACAATTCTTTTCATGCAGCAAATGACCTCTAATATTAATCAGCCAGAACAAATTTGAGAGCCTCAGAAAATCAATTTCGGCTCCCACAGCCGTGTGAATGAGCCAAAACTCTATTAAAACTGTGAATTGCAGCTGAAGCCGTTCAGATTGCTAATACGGGACGAGTGACGGCAACTCACCACTGAACATGCCCCCGTGGTGGCCTCGCACACGCAGAGCACTGATTGGTTTTGGGCCCGGTTTAGCCAGCGCACCGCCAGCCTGGTGCTGCTGATCCAGGTCACCATGGAGATGTAGCTTTCTCTGGAGAAACAATGGGAGCAGGGGAATTGCAACTGACAGTTGTGTACAGGAATACTAAAAGAACCTGCAGCAAGTGACAGGGAGCGGTCTCTGCAGTGAGTAAGTGTTTCTGACAGGAGCTGTCTGAATTCATTCAGGTTTCTTCTAAATTCACAGAGATGTACCTGGCTCTGAGGGAGTCAGGAGGCAGCATCTCCAGAGTGTGAGCTGGACCGTACAGATTCACCACAAACAGACTGACTGATGGGATACCAGAGCCGGCCTGTCAGCACATGAAAGAAAAAATAATAATTAGATCATAAATATTTAGAGCGTATTTTGACAAATCTGTTTAGACCAACTAAAGACACTTTTTACCCTGGCTTTAATGAGATGGAAACTTTCCTAACAATCATTTTAAGTCACTCTACAACAATATGACTTTTTTAATATCAAACTCAAACACTATCTATAACTTTAAATAGTTATTTTTGTGAAAACCTTCTCTAATTATAATCCTGAACCTTTCTGGGTCTGCAAACCTGACTTTGGGCATTTGGGACAACTTCAGAACTATGAAGCCAAACAGATATTAGCATAAAATAAAGAGTTTGAACGTGATATTATATTTTACATCAGATTTAATACAGTTCCTTATTATCAATGAACAACAAGATTATGTTTCTGTTGTGGATCACTGAAACACAAACTCCAAAAAACACAGACTATGATAAAACAAGAACAGGAGCAGTTGAAGTAAGGGAAACATGAGTTGTGGGTGGTTATTAAACCAAAGAGATTGTGTTTCCATGAGCAGAACATGCTGTGCGAACAAAAAACAGACTCATGAAATCATATTCTGTGAAATTTCAGCATGAGCGCTGAGAATGACAGCTGAAATCTGTTAATGAATGAAATATTTAAGTTAAAAGTAGAACAGAAGCTAAACTCAGCAAAACTAACTAAAAGTTAAAATAACCAAAACCGTTTCTAAATACCTGAAATACGTAGAACCATAGTAAAAAGCTAAATGAGCAAAATAGTAGCTAAAAGCTAAAATGAACAAAACCACAGTTAAAGCCAAATGTAGTACAGCTTAAAGCTAAAATGAGGAAAACTAGGGCTAAAAGACTAAATTAGCACAATCAAAGCTAAAAGTCAAATAAAGCTTATTAAAAGCAAAGGGTAAGAGAGTATCCATCCATCCATTATCTTTACCCGCTTATTCCATTTTGGGTCACGGGGGTCGCTGGTGCCCATGTCCAGCAATCACTGTGCGAGGGGCGGGGTACACCCTGAACGGGTCGCAAGTCCATCACAGGGCCACACAGAGACAAAAGAGACAAACAACCATTCACTCTCTCCCTCACACCTAGGGACAATTTAGAGTTACCAATCAGCCTAACATGCATGTTTTTGGTCTGTGGGAGGAAACTGGAGTACCCGGAGAAAACCCACGCATGCACGGAGAGAACATGCAAACTCCACCCAGAAAGGCCCCTGGACCGGGGTTTGAACCAGGGACCTGCTCGCTGAGAGGCAGCAGCTCTACCAGTTGCGCCACCGTGCTGCCCTCTCTGTAAACATAAAAAGTTTAATTATTCAAACAGTATAAAAGTTACAAATATTTTAAAAAATTTAACACACTTTTCTCAATAATGCTATAAACAGTTTCTATTCTGAGCGTACTCTATAAAAACTTTTGTTTGGCTCTTTATTCCCTCACTCGCTCTCGGGCAAGTCGGACACTTTGTCCTCCTCCTCCTGCTCTCCTGTCCTCCTCCTGCTCCCCTGTCCTCCTCC